AATACAACAAAACCTCAAATTTGGGTAATTAAACCTTTTTAGAAATGAAATCATAAAACAAAGCGTATAAGTTAGAAAGTTATATGCAAAACATAAAATAAAATCATAAAACAAGGCCTACAAGTTAGAAGGTTATATGCAACCTTTAATATGTTAGAAACATACAAAGGGTAAGTACCGTTGATCACAAAAAAATGAATTATACTCGTCCTCTATTTTCTACCTCTCCTGCTTATATAGTTGTTCTAGTCTGGGCCGGGTTGATATTCCTCTTAGGTCGAACCCCGCCAGCTCGAGCTTCGCTTTAGCTGTATTGTTCGGATCCGAAGCTGCTTCCCCGCAGAAGTTTCGGGTTCGCTTTGATTTCTTTCTGTATCCCCAGCTTGGGGAACTCGTCCTAAGATGCCTCCTTCTTCCTCTCCGGTTTGGGAGTGTTCGCTTGACGCGACAAATACTACTACACAGGAATTAAGGCAAACGCGATAAATAATTTATTGTCAAATTCAGAACAATACAACAAGATTAAATAACAAAGAACGAAAAGGTTAAACTTAACACGAAGTCGCAAGAGGAAGAATCTTAAAAATTTGAATCCAGAGAAATTACTACACTCAGCCGCAACTTGTGTCAGAACGATTAACAATAATGCAAAATGTGAAGCTTAGCCAAATGATGTTGCTTCGCTTATTGGCCAACGCTGGCATCTGCATCCGGCTGGCCTCCAAAAGCGTCCCTTTAGGGTCATACCGGGGCAGATGCAATGAGAGGGGAAGTCCTTTCATGCGTAGTCTCGACACTCCGTTCGTGCAATACAACCTTTTTCCTGTTAACATATCACCAAGAAAAGTATGCGCTGCTGAGCCTAAGATTTCATCCCTGTCTAAATTTTAAGCTACAGATTACATTTAAAGGAACTCCCCTAAAACAAAAGTCTATCTATTTCAAATCCTTTACCATCCAAAAATCTTCCTAAGGTCTTGAGTTTGACAGCGTGGTAATGCATTAAGCAAAGCCCGAAACTCGATAACGCCAAGCACGAACTGACAAGAAAAGGTCTATGAGATCAACAAAATGACTACCATTTTGAAGCCCGACCGCGAAAGGAAGTTAGCCTCAATCAAATAATAACACCGTAAAAAAACCTGAAACCTACAAAACATCTAAGAGATATAAAGACACGAGAGCACTTATCATTCTTTTTATAAATCCCTTACAACCTACAGGAAGCTGATCTTCAAGTTTATCGGAGATCCACCTTATTCAAACTCGATCTACAACAGAGACTGCAGTAAGAGGGATTTCGACTATCGCAAGAAAACAGTAAGAACGAGGATCTTCAACTCAACAAAGAAATTCAAACACAACGTCTTTAAACCATTACTTCCTCGTTCTCTGAGGGCGGTTCAACGGATTCTAAGAAAAGCGCCAAATCTGATCACATTTGTTTTGTAATCCATTACCGAATCACCATCGGTATTCAGTGTGCGAGACTTAAAAACAACTTCTTTAACGAAAAGTTTAAAAGAATTACAAGCATGCATCCACCAATTTGCAAAAAGTTCTATAGCTTAAAGTTATTTGGGTCTCTCTCACTAGCATCCCAAAGCAAGAATTAGCGGGCGTTAAGACCACTTCGAACTTTATGAAGCCCCCCAGCAACAGTTTTAGATTTGGCGATGACAAAGGAGAACAAAGCTTGAATCTTTGCCAACGTTCGAGTCTTTTTTTTCTTGGCAGTGGGACCACCGCAGCCACTAATTTGGAAATAAAAATCTTTTAGTCCAGGTATACAGTTATTATTTTACATATTCTCAACAGTTATCATACGGAGCTTGGAGTGACGGTTCTGGCATTGAGACTGTCGTTGTTCTTGTTATCATTCATTTTGATCCTTTACGCCTTGCACATCAGCCTAACAGGTAAAATTTTTTATTCTCAAACAACAGCGGCTACCCTCACCGTTTTTATGTTGTAGCTGAGCGCAAACAGCTAACAACTCAAAGCTTTTTTCATTTCAACGATTTGTTTTTTGTTTTTGTTTTCTTTGTAGTAGTCCACGGAGAAAAGCAATATACCAGATGATGCCCCAATGGACAACAAAAGAGCTTTTTTTTTATTTGTCCTTAAAATCTTTCTTAGGCCTCCACTTTTCAAATTTAGTTTCTCTGCTGGAATTTATGTAGTATATCATCGCCATGTCCCCTATCCGCCACAGTATGTTTCTGTGAGTGGTTTTTTAGTTTCGGCTTTTTAATTCCTTCTTGTTTATTGAGTTTCAGCGAGCTTTATTTGATAGATAAATCACGAGTAAACCTTATCCGGAGGAAGGTTTTTTTGTTTTTATACTGGAATTGTACCTAACAGTTTTAGTTAATTTTTGAGGGCCTTATTT